CGAGACTAGTCTCCAAAAAGAAACATTCTGTGAACGAGACAGTGTGGCCCGTGAAGCACGCTGCTGTCGTCGAAGGAGATATTATCCTTGGCGGCCTCATGATGGTGAGTTACATTCGCATAATCATTAGAATTAACTATTACTTGAACCATACGTCGAACAGAACACAAACCGATTGTTTGATGATCCTGAAGTAAATATTTATACTCTTCCTTTGAGTGTTTAAACATGTTGAGAAATATATATGCAGTTGGGGGTGGTTGTATTTTAATAATAATATGTTAATAATTTCACACACGGCCGTCTGATCCCAAACTAGGCAGAGCCTGTACTATGGTAACCAGACTGCTGATAAACATACTTATATATTTCTAAATACATACATATTATAGATAAAGTACACCCAGACACAACAAATTATCGTGCTCATCGCACAATTATTTGCCCTGGTTGGGAGTCGAACCCACGACCTCTGGTGTAGCAGTAGACCAACAGGCCAGTCTAATTTTAATTGAGTGAGTTTTAATACAGTATACATACAGTAGTTATGAAAGCGAATCGGTTTGTCTGGTCGCCGCAAGGTTCTCACCAGACAAATTGAGAAGTCGCAAATATCTGAGGTTAGACGTTTTACTAAATACTAAGTGGCTCCAACTTTTGAATATATCGCTGTACTACTACAATGGCGGAGATGAATCCTCCACAAAACTACTCTGTCTGACTACTACCTACTACTCTCTGGTGCTCTCTTACATAGATTACTCGCTTAATAGAACAATGAACAATGAAAACTCAAATTTCATGAGCACTTCACAATTAAAAAAGTCGCCGTTAAAACCTTGACTGGTTTAATCACAATAATCACATTAGATGTCTGTCAGTTGTAAAAAAGGAGTAGGAGCCTTTCCAGGCTGTTTTTCCCGACGTAGTCCTTTGATTCAAAATCCACAACAGTCCGTCCAAGCGAGAAATTTTGGCGCCTAAAACCAAAGGTGTCAATGACCTCAATGCAATCTATTGTGACAGCGTTGTTTTCCAACAAATCAGTTGATACAGTTACACAGGATAAAGTGTCTAGGCGAACACTTTATCCTGTGTAACTGTAATTTTTACAGTCGCTGTAGCTATCTGACTACCACCTCTCATTTTGCAACTAAAAATAGGTCTCTGATCATCATGTTGCGAACGAGACCGGTTGTAAAAAAGCTAATAAAAACGTCACCGGGACAACGATCATCAAGCGAAAACATAAAGGGAAGATATTTGAATTCGACCTGACATGCCATTCGCATTTCAGTGACTGCAATTCTAACAAATAAATTACAACGCCAATCGTTAAAAGTTAAAGGAAGATCCATAAGATAACCTAACCTTGTCCAGCTGATTGTATATTTATTTTCTTCTAGTACGTTATATTAGAAGTATATAGTATCGAGAAGAACTGCTTTCTGCGTCAGGCCCTTAATCCAACTGCCTAACAACTATATGTCTGAGGCTTTCACCAGGACAATGACATGCCCGACAAATGTCTATTATGCCGTCCTTCCTTTATTTGAATTGTTGTTTGTGCAAAAAGAATAATATAAAATAAATTGCGATCCCAATCGCCGGAACAGTCCCGTTATGTACTTTTCGTATCTGACCTAAAAATTAGCTAATTTAAGCCAAATTAAATCTTGAGCTGTAATATATCATAATTTTCTTCTTAGTGTAAATAATTCGATGGATCAAATTTGATAATTTGTATACTCAAATAGCAAACATAACAGAAAATATCAAGAAATAGTTTTAAATTTATTTTGTAATCTTGTAAATTTAATATGTCCTTATAACTGAATTCCAGGATTAATCTTAGATCAAGCTTAGATTCTTAATTATTTTTATTGGCCACGAAAACTCTTAACTTTAGTACCATTTGTACATTTATATTTTTAAAAGACAAACTTACAAAAAAATAAATAAATAAAGAAAACTTTAGAAAATGTGTAAATTTCAAGCGAGTAGTCTTGTGACCTATTGATATTCAAACACACACATTCCTATACATGTGAATTTATTGGGATTGATATAATCGTGGTTCAAAAGTTTTAGAGCAATAAATTGTTGTTTCATCAAAATATATGCGCTATTGGTGAATCACTTTCCACGATTCCGTTTAGTAATCAAAGCGTAAAGCTAACAAAGAAAACAAACAATGGTTAGAGTAAATATGGATGTTTACCACCGACGGTGCCAGGATGTAACCATGTGAAGTAAAGGCAGATGTCGTGTGCTATATATATAACGAAGATGTGTGTGTGCAAAGGTGCACAGTAGGTCGGAGGGCGCCACCTGCGGGCCGGTGATGGCGCAGGGCGGAGTGCAGGCGCTGGAGGCAATGCTGTTCGCGCTGGAAGCGGTGGCGAGCGCTGGCATAGGGCCGCCCGGCGTGCGCATCGGCGCACACGTGCTCGACGACTGCGACAACGACACCTACGGCCTCGAGATGGCGCTCGACTTTATTAAAGGTGCTGCTGCTAACAGCTTGTTAAAATTACACACTAGTTAAAATGTCTATATACAATTATCACGACAGTGTTATCGTTCTCTGTGCGATAACTGCTACCATTTTATGAATTCAAGGCGTTTCTTTTCATTGAACTATGTCTGAAACCTGTAAACACACCAATCTGTCCTAGCGTGTTTTATCTACTTTCGACATTACTGTTAAAGTTACTGATTAAAGTTCTGCAACGTATTTAATACTTTCCAAGAGCCAATTTGTTAGCTTTGAGGAATTGCATTCCATTCCGTTTGACCACCTCGTAGTCAGTAGCCGCCCTAAGGCTCTCTCGCTACATGTGTTATAATAAAAATGGCCACTTGTAATGCTTAGCTACAAATGTTGCTAAACATTTACGGTGCAATTGCTATTGTTCGCTTAGATTTATTATTATTTTTCAGGCAATAATAGTTAAGTTCCTATTTTATAAATCTAAAAGCAACTATCGATATAGACAGCATGACAAGGAGTAGGGCCGATGTATTGGGGGATATGACTATTTGTTACAATAACACTTGTGTGTCTTTATGGTTGCCGGAGTATAAGGATCTCTCTCTACACTTGTGCCTCACAAATATGTCACAGTACTGTGGCAGATGTGGCTCCATATTGGCTTACATAAAAACCTTATTCCTATTATTTTTTTATTCAGATTTGTGTTCATAATAATCACTTTAAAAGAAATAATCACATAAACAACTATGGCGAATTAGTAGTTGAGTATAATTTTGAGCGTTAAAGCGAGCAAAGGTTTTTTTGACAACTTTTGACAGATGTTTGCACTCTGTCATTAAAGTTTTAAGATTAAGCGTCGGACGCGACAGGCGGCAAATGGCTGCCGACGATCATATTAGTTTAGGTTTAGTATTGACAAATCATTACATGTTGAAATAGGTAACAAATTAATTAAATGGAACGAAGTTCCAAAAATTATTGGACATTATATATGCAATATGACTAAGCATGTTTGTAATTTGACTCGTTTTCTTACATTCCTTTGTTATTTGTACTGTAGGGTTTTTATTTAACTATAGGCTCTATAAGTAACATCGACGACGCCGAGTACGCGTGCAACGCGACCGCCGTGCGCAAAGTGATCTCCGGTGTGGTCGGGGCTGCCTCCAGCGTCACCTCCGTGCAAGTCGCTAACCTGCTGCGCCTCTTCAGGATACCGCAGGTTATTCCAAATTATCTGGTAGTAGCGTCGGCTTTATCTCAACATGGGTTGAGATAAGACCGACGCCACGTTTACCGCCACAACATACCTACTTACTTCCAGTGTCACCCGCAGGTATCTTTCTTCTCGACGTCGCCGGAGTTGTCCAACAAGGCACGCTTCGAGTACTTCACACGCACGATCCCTTCGGACTTACATCAAGTGCGGGCGATGGTCGAAATAGTCAAGAAACTTGGCTGGCGCTACGTGTCTATTATTTACGAGGAATCTAATTATGGCATCAAAGTGAGCACCTTTTTTATACTACGAGTACTTCTTACTTTCACAAATCATCCCTCTTACCTATTCACCACTACTTGCGTCGATTGTTAGCCGACATTGTAGCACGAAGTACCTGTTACTGGACAAAGTTCCCTTATATTTTCTTGTTGTACTATAGTACGCTGTTCTGTTGTTAGATGACAGCAGGATTACGCTCCGTTATGGAAGCTATGTACGAGGACATTAGTAGAACCATACATATTTATGTCTAATACTCAATACACTCGACTCTTCGTAATATTGTCAAGTTTGAGAATATTACGAAGAGTCAAGTGTATTCAAAGTAAACAATTCATGTCAAGAGGTTCGGATAATGGTCATCTTGTACTTTGATGCAGTTTATGAGTCCATCAGTTTATTTATATGATACTAGATGCTCCCTTGCATGTTCACCGGCAGGTGTAAGTTTAGTCACAAAATAAATTTCTAAATGCATCCTAATGTATCTCAAACCAAAAAATACATATCAATGTCGAGCCTTTTTAATAGTGATCCCATTAAGCATTTTTAATATCTAAAGGCGCTTTAATCCTAATATTGTGGATATATTATGTTGTCGATCCATAACCCTTTTTTAATAGTCTCTTGATGTGCCATCAAGTGTGAACATCATTTTTTTAACAGGTAGGATTTTTTTTAATAAATAAAATTGTAGTTTTTTAATTTATTTTTAAATTTTCTCACCGTTTAAACTTTCCCTGGACTCTTACAAATAAAAACAAAGTAAGCCAAATCGGTCCAGCGTTTCTCGAAATTTAACGAGACTAACGAATAGCAATTCATTTTTATTTTTATGCAAATAGATATAATAATATAATATAATATTCTACCACATACACACAACGCCGTCTAGTCCCAAACTAAGCAGAGCTTGTACTATGGCTACTAGACAACCGATATAAATACATATATACTTTTTTCTTTTTTTTTGTAAATACATACATATTATACATAGAAACACCCAGACCAAATCAAACATCAAATGTTCATGCACACAAATGTTTGACTTGAGCGGGAATCGAACCTGCGACCTTTAGAATAGCAGTCCGTTACACAAACCACTACGCCATCCGTCGTCATAGATAAAATCTGGTCGTAAGTTTATTTTGATATTGGGTTTGTACAGTACTCAAAATTTGAGGAGTTCCATAGCGAGTGACCAACAAGCGGTGTCCGTGGCTGTTTGATACCAAGCGTGGTATATTTTGGACTGGGGAGTGACACTAGTAGGGATTTAAATAAAAGCACTGTGCACTACACTATGGGTTCGTAAGACTCCACGGTTAAATCGCCTTGAAATAAACTCCAGTCTTGATCTGTCATACAAAATGTTTGTAGGCCTAATAAGGTAATATACACATGCCTTGTAACAACGAAACAAACGAAACGTTGAACGAAAAAGTAACTAACATTTTTAACTTATGAGTTTGATCGCACTATGTTGTTGTTGGTCTCGAACATACCGCCCACCAAAGACTTTACGTTATTCTTTTTTACCAAGAGAATGCGCCTACTCAAACAGCTACTTGAACCAAGGCATATTTAAATACTTCGGGGGCGCAAATATTACCCCATCCTCCATATAATCCAGATTTAGCTCCGTGTGAATCTTGGTACCTAACTTATTGCCTATGATATGCTATACATATCGTTAATATACTATGAGCCTATATCCTAGATAACTCTATAGCTCTATATCCTAGATAGCAGAATGCGTACTCGAGTGGTACTACTGTGTTTTTTGCGAGATACATTTTTAAATGTTACGAAAGCAGTTTCACCCGAACGAATAGTGCCTTTAACGGTTGGCGAGAAATATTTAAAAAATCTATAACTCATTATTTTCCACTTGTCAACAATTTTTCATTTCACTAAGAATTTTTCTAACAGCCCATGTATTGTTATAATTGTTGTGAACAGGCTTTCGAAGAGCTGGAGACTTTGCTGGCGCGGAACGACATCTGCATCGCTGTGAAGGAGCGTCTCGTTAAGGACTCGGGGGAGGCGGATGAGCGCGCCTACGACGCCATCGTGTCCCGCCTGCTCACTAGACCTCGCGCCAGAGGTAAAAGTTACCAACTTCCTCGTCTAGGCATTAAGCAAACTGATTCTTTAGCAATAAAAATCTATACATTATATATTATTATATGTATTATTATGTATTCATAATATGTCGTGCCGGTCGAAGGTGTCATCGTGTTCGGGTCGGACCAAGAGGTGGCAGGTGTGATGGCAGCGGTGGGCCGTATGCGCGTAACTGACGCGTTCGGCTGGGTGGGATCTGACGGCTGGAGCGCGCGTTCACTCGTGTCGGACGGGAACGAGGCCGCCGTCGAGGGCACCATCAGCGTTCAACCTCAGGCCAACCCTGTGCGCGGCTTCCGGGAATACTTTCTCAATCTCACTGTGGAAAACAATCCGAGAAATCCCTGGTTTGTCGGTAATATTTTTTTATTCCAATTCAATTGATCGTATTGTTTTAGGTCCAGTCGAAGTTACCACACTTATAATATTCAATGAATTTCAGAGTTTTGGGAAGATCAATTCAAGTGCCGTTACAAGGGCAGTGCCCGCACGCCCTACAATGTACAATACAAGCGCACGTGTTCAGGCGACGAGAAGCTCTCCGCTGACAATATAGAGTTCGAAGCGCAACTGCAGTTCGTCACCGACGCGGTGCTGGCCTTCGCCTACGCCATCAGGTCTCATTCCTGTTATTATAACTTGGAGATGAGATGAGATATGAAATATATTCAGGATAAGATCACATGGAGACTCTTAGTGACTTTGCATCGTTCTCGTCTGCTGCATGATGAGTGTTGTTTGTATGTTCCAGAGACATGCACACCGAGCTGTGCGGCGGCAAGTCGGGGCTGTGTGAGGCCATGCGCCCCGCCAGTGGCGCCACCCTGCTGCGCTACCTGCGTCAAGTACGTTTCACAGGTCTGTCTCCTTTCTTTTCTTACCCAAGATTGCTAACAAGCAGACTAACCGTTTACAAGGTGTTGAGGGTGCCTAACATTCGTCTTTCTTCGTTTATAAACAAAATTCGGGTACTGACAATTCTAAAATTTGGAATATTTAATATTTATATATAGACGGATACTAAAAAATATTATTTTGAATATTATGCTATAGCTCATATTATGGCATAAACTCTATCTACAGAATTTGACTCACATTCACACAGTTTTAATGAATTTCTTTTGTTTTCTATAACGTGACAGGTTTAAGTGGGGACCAATTTCACTTCGATACAAATGGCGACGGCCCAGCGCGTTACAACATACTGCACTTTAAGCAAGTGTCGCGTGGGGTATACCGGTGGCTTACAGTGGGTCGCTACCTCGACGGGGAGCTCGAACTGGACATGAACGGTACCTACTTACCATTAGAGACATGTCGATTCCTGAAACGTCGTAGTCAACGACTGAAACAATTTTGTGGTTTTTATAGAGATACAATTTAAGTGGAATGAACGACATCCACCCGAGTCGGTCTGCAGCGCTGAATGTGAGTTGGGGCAGGCCAAACAATACGTAGAGGGCGAGAGCTGCTGTTGGCACTGCTTCAACTGTACACAATACGAGGTGAGGATGGTACACCGACTAAAGCGATGCGTGTTAAGCTGTATGAGAGAGTACAACGTCTGGTCATTGATCAGATCCGGTCGCCGGAGAAGGAGACGGCGTGCGAGGAGTGTCAACTGGGCACTCTGCCGGATACGACTCGGACTCAATGCGCTCCCGTGCCTGAACTGTACCTGCGACCCGACTCGCCCGCCGCCATCGGCGCCATGGCGTTCTCTTCGCTCGGCGTTCTGTTCACTATGTAAGTGTAGTAGCGCTAAGATGTAGCTGATTGCACGACTAGCGGCTGACATGTCCCGCGGCTCGCAGGTCGGTGGCGGGCGTGTGGGCGGCGCGCGGTGACACGCCGGTGGTGCGCGCCAGCGGCCGCGAGCTGTCGCTGGTGCTGCTGGCCGGTATCATGATGTGTTACCTGGTCACTTTTGCGCTCGTCTTCCGGCCCACCGATGTGCTCTGCTCTCTGCAACGGTATGTATTCGCTACCGTCGCACCCCTAATGAGTATCACGATCGTTAAACAATGTTTATTATTTCAGTTTTGGTACCGGGTTCTGCTTCACCGTGGTGTATGCTGCCCTACTTACCAAAACGAACAGGATTGCGCGCATTTTCGACGCCAGCAAGCATTCAGCTCGCAGACCGTCGCTCATATCACCGAAGTCGCAGCTGTTCATTTGCTTCGTCTTGGTGTCTATACAGGTAACGATGGAGCCCTCCGTCTTCCACCAGAATCCTATCACTTAAAGCGTTCATATAGATTTTACTCTAGGAACATCGGGCCTAGAAGACTATTTACACATGACATAACTACTACATTCAAAAAATAACATATGAAAAGCACACGTGATACCATGGCAGGTGGTGATAGTCGTGGTGTGGCAGATCATATCTCCGGCGCGAGCCATTCACCACTACCCAACGCGCGAGGACAATATGCTGGTGTGTGACTCGTACGTGGACGCTTCCTATACGATCGCCTTCTTCTACCCCATCGTGCTGATCGTAGTGTGCACCGTTTACGCCGTCCTCACGCGGAAGATACCAGAGGCCTTCAACGAAAGCAAGCACATCGGTGAGACGAACCACCTACTCTACCCATACACCTACCTATATGTACACGCATATAGATTCCTCGCGATACGCTCTCAGGCTCACAACTCTCGCAGGTTTTACGATGTACACGACATGCGTGATCTGGCTCGCGTTCGTCCCGCTGTATTTTGGCACGGCGAGCCACGTTCCGCTGCGCGTCACCAGTATGGCGGTCACTATCTCGCTCAGCGCCAGCGTCACGCTCATCTGTCTCTTCTTTCCCAAGGTACAGGTCATTTTACTCGGTCTCGTGTAAGGGCGAACATTATTCTCATTTAAAAAAAAACGTCCACAGTAATCTACTCGTAGATGAATCCGTGATAATATTCTTATAAATATATTAAATATATTAGTTGTATATAATCATCGTGAGGCCTGAGCGCAACGTCCGCGCGAGTCTGATGCCGAATCGCTGGCGCTCCGTGGGCGGTGGCGCAGGCGCCGTGGGGGGCAGCGGGCGCTGCGGAGCTGTGGGCGGCGCCGTGTGCGCCGCGCTCGTCGGCACCGCGCCGCTCCCGCGCGCGCCCGACCTCACGCCCTCCACCGACCTTTCTACGCTCAACGACACAGGTACGAATGTCAGACAATCGACTGTTATTTCACGTTACATAGTCGTATTCATGATAACGTTTGTTCACAGAAAGGACGAGCTCGTCTGATCGCATGGTGCAGACAGAGGAATCGGCGCTGTTTCCGAGGCAGTTGCGGCGCGAGGCACAGGAAAACGGCTTGCGGCTCGACGCGCGGCACCTGGCCGAGTTACGGGCGGGCCTGCCGGACTTCAGCGCGGAAGTTTACGAGCCGCGGGCGCCTCCACCGGTGGCGGTCGCCGTGGCCATCGTCGGTGCAGAGCTGCCGTTATAGCGCGCCGGTGAGGGCCGAACTAGGCCGCGCCGCCTGCCCGTGCTCGTCTAGACACCGGTGGCGCGCCAGCGTCTTCGTTCGAGCTCGCGTTTCGTTGTTGAATGTGAAATCTGTTATGATACTATATTTACGAACTTGTATTAGCGTCTAGGCATTTGATGTGCCAAAAGCATAATGTCGACACTGTAAATATTGGTCGACTTTACATACATGTGATACCGACACAAATACCGAACGAACCAATTTGTGATATTAGTTAAGAAGATATAATAAAGAGTTATTATATTAAACTTTGTTTTACTTAACTATCGTTGTTTGGGACAACCATAAATGTTAGAATTTGATAATAGCTAAGATATTTATTGATAACTGCCTGTCCCGCGTAACTTTGTCTTCGGCTCTCAAAAGGAATAAATAGTCCCTGTTTTTGCAACATTTTGCATTGATGCTTGGCTCCTATTGGTGGTTTCGTGATGTTATATAGACTTCCTCGATAAACGGACTATCTAACACTAAAATGATTTATGGTGGGGGTCTGTTTTAGACACAGAGCCCTTTGCCCTTTGCAGCGCGGCGCTCGAGCTCCCTTGGCCGCGTTGAGCTCGGCCCTGGCCCTCGCGAGGTAGAAATATTCCCCCGTTTTCGGGGGACGGCCACGACTTCTTTTTGGGCTTTTGCTTCGCGAATCGCCCTCGCTTGTCCTCGCGAATCCAACTCTATAACAGTGTTGGTTCGCTTGCGCCAGCGCCACGCAAGGTGTGCTGGCAGCGTCCATCCGCTCCAGCACCACCACCGGCACCAACTCTGTGAGAGAGACACAAGACCTTGCGGTCTCCGTCTCGATCTCCGTCTCCATTGCTTCCTTCTCAACAGTATTTGATTTAATTGAATTATCCATAGCTTATACCTGAGAATACACTTCCTGGGTGACGCTCATTCCAGGCAGTGGGGTAAATACTATGGAGGTCCCCCGGTATCCATAGGTTTTAGCAACTTCACTGTCGGATTTTAAAGTCTTTTCCTTGACGCAGGCCAGCCAATTAAGGCAAGCCCCACGTCCTCCGAGATCACGGCATTCCTGAGTGTGGCTAGCACTCAGGTTTATATGTCGATCAAGCCAACGGGTAGGTTAAACGACCCACACCCCAGGTTTGGTTAGGTTTTTTTTTTGCCCACAGACTTAGTGTCCGTGCCTTTATCAGATTTAGTTGTTTGTTACTATTGCATAATTTACATGGCATGCGTGTCTGGCATTGCTTGCATACTTAAATAGGTGGTGCTTATTCCTTATACGTGATTCCTTAAGATTACATGTTTGACTATATGACATCTTATAATTTGTAACATTTCTTAAAAATTAACTTATCGCTAATACATTCTATCGGCTTAGATGATAGCTTAAAATAAATAATTGAAAGGTGGTGCTTATGCCTTATACATGATTCTTTAACATTACATGTTAAATCTTATGAATTAAATTACAATTAGTAACATATCTTAAACTTAAACTTAGTATAATAGAAAATAGAAACATTTGGTACTTATCGCTAATACATATTCCAGTTTATAAGGTGATTGGATATATTTAAAGGATGGTACTTATTGCTAATACATTATAGGACTTAGTATATCTTTTTGTTTGAGTATATACATATATATATATATATTTTTCCAATATATAGCTTAATCTCAGTATCCAAACTAATACACTCCGTATACGACTTAACCTAGTTACATGACGGATTTGAATTTATTTTACAATAGAGTCAGCTTCTGCAGACTATTCGACCCACTTATTTGGACTTAGTCCGACATATGGGATGTACAATGGGGTGACATGACTCATGACTCACTTCTTGGGACCGAACCGGTTCGAGTTTTGGGGCTGTGTTTTAGTTTTAGTTTAATATTAAGATTTTTGCTGTTCAGGTTTTGGAGGTTTTGGAGGTGGTTTTAGAAAGCGCAGTACTGTGTATTTTTCGCGTCGCTTAATTTGTTGGCTCAGAAGCCGGACATGGACTCCCCCGCGCCGGTGCTCCCGTGCGGTGCCTCCTGAGGTGGTCTAGTCTATGCCTCTCTTCTTCGTATACCACTATCTCGTGGGCCTTTGACGCTTTGACGCATCCGATATAGTCGTGAGCCTCCCCGCTCTCGTACTTCACCGTCATTGCGTCTACGCTGATCTTCAGCGACTCGACCCCCTCTCATGACGCCACCTCCCCGAGTGTCGAAAGAACCGCGCAAGCCTGGGCAAAAGGGCTTGTCTCCTCCCAAGTGAAGAGCAATATTGTTTTGTTGCGGGCTCTGAACACCCTGCACGTCCTGTCCGCCACTGTGGCCTCCGCAAGGTCCTCGTATTCCCTTCGTGTTATACTGGTTCTGGAGGTGCTTCCCCTGATTAGAGCAGCGAGGCCCGGCGACAGCACCACACTACTATCTGCAGAAGCCGATGCCCAGCCGCACAGAGTTGTCGCTCATAAAGAGCTCCACCGGTCCAAATTCCAGCCCCGGCCGTCCACACTCGGCTAACGTCAGGATTTGATGCTGAGGTATGCGGCGCCGAGGAGCCGGGTGGGGTGCTGTCCGGGTCGGCAAGGCCCCCCGGCAAGGGTCGACAATCAGCGGGAATATCGGTTTTATTGCGTCCCGCAGCGATCCTGAAGACTTGCTCGGCGAAGCCCAAAAGGAGTGTCCCCGCCTCCCCGTCCTCCATGATAGCCGCAAGATTCTGCTTACTTACTCTCTTGTTTATTCTGTGCTCCAGGTCCATCCGGTCAGATTGGAAGCGGGGACAATCCATCAGGAGGTGCCACACCGTTTCGTCGACCTCGCTGTCACATTCGCAGCCGGGGTCCTCCCTCAGCTGGAACCTGTGCAGATACGTCCCTATGCCTCTATGTCCCGTTAATGCCTGCACCTGTAATGGTGTCGGTTTGGTTCTTCTGCTTATACGATAGGCCTTTTCAACGTCCGGCAGGAACACCCTCGTAACTGAGCCGGTAAGGGAGGCGTCGTATCTGTCCTGCCATTTGCGGACAGATTCCTCCCTGATCTTTCTTTTAACATAGGAGAGTGGAACCTCACCGTAGTCCGGGACTGTGGGCGCGGCGCTAGCGGCGATTTTTGCCAGTTGATCGGCTCGCTCGTTCCCCGCTGTTCCCACGTGGGCCCTCAGCCAGAACAAACGGACCGTTCTTCCCTCCATCTCAATCCTTTTGATGTTTTCCCGTATGAGACCCGTCAGTGGGTGGGAAGCCCTGGAGTTTCGGAGGAGCTCCAGTGACGATCTGGAGTCGCTTAGCACATTCACCACGTGGTTACCACTCTCTGCCGCCAGAGAGATCGCCCGGTGCAGAGCATACAACTCGGCCTGAAACACCGTGCACGAGCGGTCCAGGGTGTATGTATAGAATGCTGTCTCCCTGCCGTCCTCCCACCAGGTCACTGCTGCACCCACTCTCCCACCCATCTTGCTACCGTCCGTATATGTATAAGGACCCGTGATGCGGTGCCGAGCAATGGTGTCCGGCTCGGCGTCCTCCAGGAGTTCGTAGTCACTCGCTATAGTTTGCGAGGGGTGAGGACGATTTTGATGGTGTATTACCGTCTCTAGCTCCTTCCCAGGCGGTATATAGTCGTTCGATAGGCCCCTCTTAGCCCGGTAAAGTGCCGAGGCCTCCTGGATCCTCAGGTCCAGCGGAAGAAGGCCGCTTATAGCTAGCGCCGATGTGAGGGATACCGTGCGATATGCCCTGCATATTTTTTGGGCGAAGCCCCTCTGCAATGAGTCAAGCCGCTTTCTGATCGTCCAGAGCCTCGTCGCAGGGCACCACACTCCCGCGGCGTACATAACAATCGGTTCTATGACCGCGGTGTAGATTGTTCTTGTGATCTCCCCATTCAGGCCCCACGTCACCCTCGCCGCACAGGCCAATTGCTTGTATAAGTCCGCGGCCTTTTTGCACACTGCGGCGACATGCGACCCGAAGGAGAGTCTATGGTCTATTATAAGTCCCAAGATTTTAATTTCCTTTACCAGGGCAAGAGGCGCCCCAGCCATGACCAACCTGGGCGAGTCGTGTCCAAGCTTCCTGGTGATCACCATGGCACCGGTCTTTTGCGGCGCGAACTTGAGCTTGTTCTGGTTTCCCCATTCAACAACTACCCCTAGGATCCTGTTTGCGGATCTTTCTATTTCCCCGCCAGAGTGGTCCGAAAGCACTATTACCACATCATCGGCAAAGGCCTGGCAGTAGATCCCCTCACCGGCTATTTTGTTCAGCAGTGAGTCCAGAATGATATTCCAGAAGGTTGGTCCGCAGATGGATCCCTGGACGCAACCTTTGGTCGTCTCTTTTTCGTAAGTCGCTCTGGCATAGTTGACACATATTTTCCTGTTTGCAAGGTAAGATCTCACTAGGCTCAGCAAGTTTCTCTCCGTTACAATCGGACCGGCAACTCTGGTCCGACGAGTGGGAGGTGACGGAGGGAGAGCTGGACCGAGTCGTGCGGCGGCTGGCTTCCCGCAACACTGCGCCCGGACCTGATGGTATTCCAGGTCGGGCGCTGGTGATAGCTCTGTCGGTACTGGGGGACAAACTGAGGCGGATTTTCACAGATTGTCTTAGCCTCGGTGTCTTCCCCCTCGGCTGGAAAGAAGCGAGACTGGTGCTCTTGAAAAAGGAAGGTAGGACTGCAGATTCTCCCTCTGCGTTCCGACCGATATGCCTGCTGAACGAGTCGGGGAAACTCTTTGAGAGGGTTATCTCCGATCGTATCAGCGGGCACCTGTCGCGAGTAGGCCCTGATCTGTCGGACTGCCAGTTTGGATTCCGACGGGGGCGTTCGACAGTGGACGCTATCAGGTGCGTTCGCTCCATGTCGGAGTCGGCAGTCCGATCAGGGGGGGTGGCTTTGGCGGTTAGCCTTGATATCGTTAACGCGTTCGGCACCCTCCCCTGGCAGGCGATTAGGGCGGCCCTTGAATTTCATGAGGTGCCGCTCTACCTGCGGGCCGTCATTGGGGCCTATCTGCGCGATAGGACAGTGAAGTTTATCGGTCGGGGCGGGGTGGAAAATCGGAGAGAGGTGTATTGCGGGGTTCCCCAAGGCTCTGTTTTAGGCCCTTTGTTGTGGAACCTCGCATATGATGTGGTCCTTCGCACCAGTCTGCCCTCTGGCCTTAGTGTTGTCTGCTATGCTGATGACACTTTAATACTGGCTAGAGGGTCACACTTCGACGAGGTGCTTCGGCTCGCCGAGCATGGGGTGGCTTGTGTCGTGGGAAAGATTCATGAGCTGGGTCTGAAGGTGGCGCCTCAGAAAACTGAGGCGATAAGGTTCCATGGCCTTCGTAAGCGCCAGGAACCACCCAGCTCATGCCTCCGGGTGGGTGACGCTGAAGTCCAGGTGGGCCGGTACATGAAGTACTTAGGCCTCATCCTGGACAGTCGGTGGAGCTTCGAAGAGCATTTCGTGCGATTAGTCCCCCGAGTGCGCGGGGTAGCGGGTGCACTGCATCGCCTGCTGCCCAATCTCGGGGGACCACGGGAAGAAGTTCGCCGTCTCTATATGGGGGTCGTGCGATCCATGGTCCTCTATGGGGCGCCCGTCTGGTCTAATGACTTGGTGGGTGCCTCCCGCTGCAAGGCTCTACTCAGAAGCCTACAGCGGTTGATGGCCATACGGGTCGTACGGGGTTATCGTACCATCTCGTTTGAGGCGGCGACGGTCCTGGCGCGATATCCACCCTTCGACATTCTGGCCGACATGGACGCGACGGTCTATGAGCAAGTCCGTTCTGTCGGTCGGAATGGTGAGGAGGCCGCGCCGGATCATGAGCCCGGAATGCTGCGGCGGAACGCGCATACCCAGGCTCTGCGAGCGTGGCAGGCACGGCTTGCAATCCAGGGCTGTGCCAGCCAACGCGCCGTCGGAGCCGTTCTGCCGAGCTTCGAAGCGTGGGTAGGGAGGAACGACTGTGTCACCTACCGATTGACTCAGATGCTTACCGGGCATGGTTGCTTCGGTGAGTATCTGAATCGAATTGGACGGGAGGCCACGGCACAATGCCACCATTGCGGGTCCGACCGGGACTCCGCCCAGCATACTCTGGAGGACTGCCCTGCATGGGAGTCCGAACGTCGAATCCTGGTCGGACAGATCGGACGAAACCTGTCACCGCCAGCATTAATCGCGGCAATGCTGGCGAGTGGCGAGGGATGGGCAGCCGCGGTCTCCTTCTGCGAGGACGTTATGCTCCAAAAGGAGGCCGCAGAGCGGGATCGGGAGAGGGCCGATCCCGCTCGAAGGAGGCGGCGAAGGGGACGTGGCAGAGGTCGCTAACTCCCCAATCGCCGCCTAAGGGTCGCTGCGGCCACATCTTGGGGCGATGTGACCGCTGTAAACGACCCGAGACAGATGACACTCCGGTGCGGCCGGGGGCTGTCGTCTAAGGCGGGATGCTGTTGCGCCTTTTACTCTGTAGAACAGTGAGAGGCGCGGTAGCGTCCTGCCCCAGGGTGACTTCGATCACTCCGGGATGTGCCTCAGACATGAGGTACGGCAGGGAGGACTCCAGAAGTCGCCGATGCGTTCCTGGAGCTCCTCCCGACTGCCGAGGTAGGCCGCCGCGGGGTTTAGTGGGTAGACCGGTTCTCCGGGAGTCCCACACACGCCCTACGTTTCCCCAACGGAGGGTATGGTGCGAAAAGCATTCCCCGCGTGAAAAAAAAAAAAAAAAAAAAAAAAGGCTCAGCAAGTTTGGTGGGCAGTTTTTGTTAGATAGCTGCACTTTGAGTGCAGGCCACCATGCGTTGTCGAACGCCCCCTCGATGTCCAGTGAGATAAGGAGAACTATTCTCCTGTTCTCGACTTCACCTCTCACGTAGCTTACTAGATCGTAGAGGGACGTCCTCGGTGCTGCGCTGCGGCATGAAGCCGTACTGCCTAGAGTTTAAGGTGGGAAGGATATGCCACTGTAGTCTGTTGGCCACGAGTTTCTCGACTATTTTGCCGAGGACAGACAGAAGTCCTATCGGTCTGTAGGACTTTGGATGTGTGTAGTCCTCCTTCCCCGGCTTCGGGATAATAACTACGTGGGCCGTTTTCCATTACCCCGGGAAGCACGCAAGTGCCAGGCACTTATTTGCCACAGCCAAGAACACCTCTCTCTCGCACCGGATCGACACCGCGCAAATGTCCGCCGTCAAACCATCCGGTCCCGGCGCCTTTCTGGGGTTGAGCGCTGCGATTACCGTTTCCAGCTCCGATAGTGTAAACTCCGGGTCGTCCGCTGATGTGTTGACCCCCGGTATTGATTTTTTGTCACACTTTTCTCGGATTTGAGTGTGGTGAGGTTCATCGGTGTCCACAGAGTCGTCAGGGTAAAAGGTTTTGGCTAAGAGCTCAGCAGATTTCTCGGGGGTGAGTGTCCTGCCCCCCGGGTCTCTGAGTAGAGTATCTTCTCGCCTTTTTGTAGTCCTCCTGATGACTCTGTAGACCCCGTCCCAGATGCTCTCTTTGTCCTGTGCGGTACAAAAACTCTTCCAACTTAGAGTTTGAGCTGCTACGGCCTTAGATGCGTACTCCCTCTTCGCGAGCAGGTATTCGTCAATGACGTATCGCTTTCTTGAGGGAGCAGCGTTTCTAATCCTCCGTTTCTTGCGAAGGGCGTCCCTTTTTAACTCGTGGAGTTCCTCCGACCACCAGGGTGGGGTTGGCTTCCCCCTATAGCATCCGGCCTTTGGCATCGTTTTTTCGCAGCACCTCAGTATGGCGTCAGTGTAGGCCGTTACGATGGCCTGTAGTTCGCTCCCTGTGCCGGCTGCTCTGATTTCGCCGGTTGTCCCTTAGTTCTGTCCTGAGTAGTGTAGTAAATATACCGCTCGCACCGCTTACCCGGATCGCACGTTGATACTCGCAGTTACGCGAACATTATTAATAATACATAAGTACTAATAAAGGTGTATTAAAAATAAAACATAATGGTACAGTGCAAGAAGTGTAAATTGTTCTTGTCGATCAATAAAGACGATGTGATAAGGTGCAAAGGTGAATGCAATTCAGTTTTCCATAGAAAGTGTGTAAAAAATATGAAGCAGTTTTTACAAAAAGAATGCTGCGAAGAATGTTCAAAGAGTGCTTTAGCTGTTTTGTCACCGAAAATAACGGAACAAGAGGAAGACTACCGTGAGCACACCGCTAGACCCCTTGAATGTCCGACCGCTATGGAAGATCTGTTGAGAGAAGTTAACAAAAAGTTGGAAATAGTGCATAAGATGGATAAAGATTTAGAAGATATAAAGAATTCAGTGAGCTTTTATGCTGAGAAGTATCAGGAAATGGTTGAATTTAAACAACAAGCAGAGAAAAAAATGAAAAGCATGGAGCAACAACAGGTTTATCTAGAAAAGTATAATAAAGCGTTAGAAGAGAGGGTGATTGTACTTGAACAGAAAGAAAAAGAGAGAAATATTGAGATAGTGGGGCTGGAGAAGCAAGAAAAAGAAGATACAAAAGATGTGGTAAATACACTTGCAAAGAAACTATCGCTGGATCCAAACGAGATTGAAGAAGTTAAGAGGGTAGGTCTGGAAAAAGGCGCGGACAATCAGCATCGTACTCAGCCTGTGATAATAAAGCTACGAAGCACATCAGTGAGAGAACAATGGCTTAAGATGCGAAAGCGACAAATAACTAACGATTTTGTATACGCGAATAAGAATATCAATAAGATATATATAAACGAAGACCTCTCTAAGTACTTCAGACAATTATTCTGGATAGCTAAAAAAGAGCTCAAAGAATCCTATAAATTTATATGGATACAGAACTCGAGAATTTTGGTTAAAGCTAATGAAAGTACAAAAAAAATACACAGTATTAAATGTGAGAATGATGTGCGACGGTTATTATCAAGCTCCAGCAAGTAAATGTAAGCCCGTAGCACACTAAGTGATTCCTTAACGCATAAAATTCGATCGTTTTCAAGTAGATGATAAAGACTATGTGTATATGAGGTATGAGTCTATGAAAGATTGGAGCGAATATATTACTAGTAAAGACAGTAAGGAGATAGACGTTGTACATATAAACATAAGATCATTAAAGAAACAGTTCAACCAATTATTGGTACTATTAAAAACATGTAAGCAAAAATTAGATGTTATAATATTAACAGAAATAAATGTGAAAAAGGAAGAAATTGCATTATTCAAAATAGATGGATATAGTGCACATGAATATACAAGACAAAATAAAAGGGGTGGGGGAATCTTGATTTATATAAGAAATGATCTTAATCACCTAAAACAAAAAACATATAACCCGGAATTGGAAATAATATATGACAAAATTATGTTACATAAGAGTACATTGCACTTGATTGCATTATATAGACCCCCAAGTAAAAATAAAATAGAATTCATTAAATACTTGGACTGGCTGCTGCAGGGTATACCAAAACAAGAAGAGGTTATCGTCATTGGCGATATGAATATCGATTTAATGAATGAGAAACAGAATGTTATATCGAGCAATTATAAAACCACCTTGTGTGGTCACGGCCTGCAGATGACCATACCAACTACGACGATAACGAGAGAAGCTATAGTCGACGGGCAGATACAGACGTCATGCATCGACCACGTGTGGGCGAGACTTAGCGACGGCGAATCGGGAGCGATCAGATGTGTGTCTACACACACATTTGAATGCACCTTATCGGACCACCATATGACCGGTATTAGACTTATGTGTGAGCCGTACGTATTGCAATCTAGTAAAAGAATTTCAAAGCGGACCGTGTTAAATAATAAGTTAGTTATTGATAAGCTTACGAATGTTGTGTGGCAAGACGTCTTGCAGATTAACTGTCCTATTTTAATGTATAATGAACTGTGCCGTGTTTTTCGCAGTATTTATTCGGAATGTACGCTTTCAGAAACACGACAAAATAAAAGAATACCGCAACCGTGGGTAAGTAAACAAATAATGTTGCATATAGATAAGAAAAATGAGTTATTTAGAGCATGGAAAGAAGAGCCGTCTAATATGAATCGGAGGTTAGAGTATACGAAATATCGAAATAAAGTAAACAAAATGATAGATGCTGCGAAAAACAGGTACAGGAGAAGTAAATTAAGTAAATGTAAGGGGGACTATAAAAAAATATGGGCTAATATAAATCTGTGGACGGGTAAAAATATGTCAACAATAGATGGTACAATAAATAAATACTTAGGTAAAACAGATAACATGTATAACATATGCACTAAATTTTCTAACACGTTTACTCAAGAAATAGAGAAAATTAAACATAATTGTTCTGATAAGTTTTTAGACAGAAGTAGCTATGTTAGTAGAAGTTTAAGTTATTTCCGATTTAAAAAAATTACCTCAGAAGATGTTGAAAAAATTATTAGAAAATTAAGTTGTGACAGGGCACCGGGAAAGGATCAAATAAGGGTAGTGGATTTGAAATGTATAATCAAACAAATGAGTAGAATTCTTGCAAAATTTATTAATATGTGTGTAACACATGGTATATATCCTGATGAACTGAAACAAGCGTTGATTAGACCTATCTATAAACAAGGATGCCATCTCGACTATACTAACTATAGACCTGTAGCTATTTTATCAGTGATAAATAAAATTGTAGAAAAAAGTGTAGTAACACAAATCAGCGATTATTTAGAGGGAAACAATGTTTTAGACGACTGCCAGCACGGATTTAGAAGAGGACGGAGCACTGGTACCGTTCTAATACAGTTTACAGATTTTATCAATGGAAAGCTTAATGATAAAAATCAAATTCTAGCTCTGTTTATAGACTTTAAAAAAGCATTTGATACACTGGATCGTAATCAGCTATTACAAGCCGTGGATGAGTGCGGTATCAGTGGTCCGACAAATAAATTCTTCGCTGATTACTTGCGAAACAGGACGCTCTGTACAGTTGTCGACGGAACAACAGGCGCAGATGCGGCCATCACAATGGGTGTGCCCACCGGCTCAGTATATGCTCCTATTGGTTATATAATGCATGTCAATAGCATGGTCAATGTCGTGGAACATTGCGGGGTGTACATGTATGCTGATGACACTTGTATGATAATCTCAGGTAAAAATTTACAACACATGATGGTGCAATTGCAAAATGACTTTGATAGAATAACAAAATGGGCTCATGATAATGGGATTATACTTAACACCAATAAAACTAAAATCATGCATATATGTTCACCTTACAATAGAGTCACGAGAGGAGGGGCTAATATACGTATCATAGGACACACATATGACTGTTTACATAAAAACCAGAGCTGTCAGTGTAAGGAATTGGAGTTAGTTACCACCATTAAGTACTTGGGGTTGATAATAGATAATAGATTTAGCTGGAGGCCACACATAGAATTGGTATGTAATAGATTAAGGTCAGTTCTAAGTAAGTTTTACATCCTCAAAAGAATATTAGACAGACGTACTTTGTTTATGGTGTACTATGCACTAGCGGATTCAATTATTAGTTATGGGCTAAGCTGTTACGGACTAACATTTAAAACGTATATAGAGGAAATTAAAAAGATACAGTTAAGATTTTTAAAAATAATAGTAGATAAAAGAATTAGGAAAAAGCACAAAGATGACTATAATAAGTTATTTTCCGAATGTGCCATCATACCAGTCAATGAAAAAGTTAAATATTTAATAGCATTAGAATCATATCATAGTGAAGAGTATAAGATAAAGAAAAAATATCATTACAGTGTCAGAGTAATAAAGAAGGGAAAATTAGAGCAGTTAAAAGTAAATAATTATTATGGGGAAAGGACCAGGAAGTATGTAGTACCAAAGTTATGTAATAAATATCAAATACTAAGGGAGGACAAGAAAATAAAATGTAAGTTTAAACTAAAACTAAGACTAAAAGAAAGGTTTGGATATGGCAATAGATTAAAACGCGTACATAAATAGGGAAGCAGGTGCCCAGGAAATAGTCAGGGTACACATATTTATGTATTGTTTGTCTTGAAATTATTTTGTTTGTTGAGTTAGTACACCGTTGTAGGAGGAATTTGTAAACTAGCATTTAAGTACTTAGGTTATTATAAATTGAGCGGAACGCCTACAAACTGTTAGAACAGTTTGGCGAATCGAGAAAATGTAAACAAATGTAAATCTTAGTGTGAATAAAGTTTTTGAAAAAAAAAAAAAAAAATCCAGTTTGCCTTTTTGGCTTTATATTTTCGGGTCGTACACGGCTTCAACGGCTCCAGCGCCACCCTCAGGCGCAGGGAGAAGGTTAAGATTGTGGTCCGATGTTGTCAGATGCCTATTTACCCTCCAACCTTCGATCCTCCCCAACAGTGATACACTGCATGTCGTAACGTCCACTATGTTGGAGTGCATCCTGCCATCCCTGGGTACCTCGAAGGTCGGGGTGTCTCCCGTGTTAAGGATCTGGAGATCCATCTCCGCCAGGAAGTTTGTGAAATGCGCTCCTCTGTCGTTTTCTCTGCCGCTACCCCACCAGTGGCTCCAGGCATTTACGTCACAATGATGTTGCTCGTGTTTAGCTCGCTGCACGCCCTCTGGGTCCGCCTCAGATAGGGTTCCCGGTCTTCCCCGCCATCGTAGTATACCGAGACTACTCCAAGCTGCAGACCATCCTCCCTCAGGAGAACTGCCGCCTCCGTCTCTGTCACCAGCTGGGGGTCGTGGATTACCTCCATCCAGCCCCCGAACACAATGATGGCTGCCTTTACCGGGCCCCGATTTAGGGTGCACTGAACCACTCTCGTGCCCGGGTACTCCCTGACGATACCCAGCTTCCCCGTATAGGGCTCTTGAACTATTGCGACAGCAATCCCCCCGGCCTCGGCCGCCTGAAGCAGCTCAGCTGTAGCGATCTTTGAGCGTTGCAGGTTGGCCTGGACGAATTTGAGCTCAGTTATCACCCCCGGTTTTGGCGGCGTGTTTACCCGCGCGTCATCGCCCACCTCAGCAGTATGTTATTCGGGACCTTGCTATCGCGTCCCACTTCCGCCTTATCCTGCAATCCTCGCTAAAGGCATTGTGCCTCGTCTCGCTGTCTGGTAGACGTTCCGCGGAACAGTTTATGCAGGTCGGGGCACCACCGTCCCGACGGCTTTGACAGTTTTCCCATGTGTGGGGTCCTCCGCAGTAGCTGCAGAGTTCCTCCCCGTGCTTGCACATGGCTCAGGTGTGCCCGTACCCCAGGCATTTCACGCACTGCACGAGCGGGGAGTGATCCTGCACCACGACTCTCTGCAATCCGATATAGAGTTTTCCGGCCTCCACACACCTCTTATGTAGCGGAGGCGACAGCTCTAGAACAGGATGGCACTGCAGGGCGTTTCTGGCACGCTTACGGTACCGCAGTTTAAGTGCAGTGTCCTCTGCCGATAGTCCCGCCGTAAGGTGCTTGTTCTAAGCCAAAATATTGTCCACTATATCGGCGTCCTTATGGTAGGCCATGACGTCCCTTAGTACCAATAGCGGGTTTCCGGCCTTCGCCACCTCCACTTTCAACTTGTTATTCGCTTTCACTGTCCTTTGGACCAGTTCGAGGTCCTCTCGAGTGCCACAGCTTAGGACCACTTTTTGATTCCTAGCCCTCCTCAGTCGGTCCACCCTGGCCCCCGTGGTCTTTGTGTTCAGGGTGTCCTGATCTGGTCAATTACGTGCTCCCCGGTGTGCTTTGGGTCCGTGGACGAGATTATGAGGGTGTGATTCGGCTTCGGTGGGGGAGTACGTCGACTTCCTGACAGGGGTTTTCTCACTCACTGCCTGTGAAAACTCCTCACCCAGACTCGGAGCCGTTAGGGGGGGGGGGGGTTTCCCTCACCTCCTTCAGCACCCGCAGCTCCGACACGACGAGATCGAGTCTTTCTTTTAGAGGCTCGATCACCTCCATCGTGCCCCCATGCGTTTCCGGGGGGGGCGGGATCAACGGTCACCCGATTCTCTCAGTTGGAGAGCTCAGCGATCTCCGCTCTAATACTCGCAATCTCCTCCCCCACGCCGGCCATGCCTTGGTCGTTTGGTTGTGAGCCGATGGCAGAGAGGACCTCGCGGCAGGCTTCCCCGGTTTTTAGGCTCTCCCTCTCGGCCTTCTCGGAGTCCCTGCGGAGCGCATCCAGTTGGGATGACAGTGTTCTCAATCCTGTCTTAATGTCTGAGAACTCTACGTGGCTGCCATCGGTTGGGCTCGCCTTATGCTGAACTAGGTGGGCAGCCAAGTCCTCCTGTCTTTTTCTCAGGTCCGCGAGCCCCCGGTCAATCTGGCCGATCCTTTCAAAGGCTCCTGGGTCTCATAGCTCAACCAGTTCCGCGTCGCCCTAGACTCCCTCAGGGTTTCCCCGATGTCCCGCGCGCCTGGCCCAGTTCCGTGGTAACGTTTTTAATGAGGTCCGCCATTTCCTTACTGTGAGCCCTCTCAGCCCTCAAGAGCTCCCTGGCGTGCCTCGACCGCTCCTTCTCCAGGTTCTCCTTATGTCTGGACCTGGAGTCCGATAGCGCCAGGGTAATCTCATAGAGGGTTTGGAGACTTTCTAATGCCGTTTGTTTGCATTCCCTCTTGATGTTGCCGCAAGACTCCAGGGCCTCTTTCCCCCTGAGGAGCGCCTCGTTTGCCTCCTTCGTGGCTGCGTCCATCTCTACGCCCAAACGCCTCCCGGATGTCAGGAGCAGGCTCTGTCTCCTTTTGCCTCCAATAATTGGCGAAGCCGGTAGAGAGCCCGTCGACTCATCGTCGGAGATGATGGGCATGCGAGAGAGGTCGTCCTGCTGCCAGTTGTAAATTCTCTGCAGTGTCTGATCGTTCGGAGTGATCACCGACGCATCCGAGGCAGCAGGCTCCCCCCCCCCGCCGTCGACCTCCCCCAGCGTGGGTTCAGCCGTGCATGTTGCAACGTCGCTGTCTCTAGATGACAGGGACAGTTTCGGTTTTCCCTGCTCAGCGGTGTCGCCCCCCGCTACGCCAGGCCCCGCACTTGTTGCTGGCTCAGCCGAGCCGGAGGGCTGTGGCTGCTTCGCCGAATCCTTGGCTTTAACCGTCTTCGTGAGGACTTTCTCTCGAAGCGTTTTGCGTTTCCCTTGCCTGTGCTACAGGGGGGCCAACGCTCGCCAGTGCTGATACCGCCGAAGACACCCCAGACAGGGAGGAATCCATGTCGAGCTTCTTTGCCGCCACTTTCTTGACTGCCACCTTTCGCTGAGAGGCCGACATGGTTCAATCTTATTGATTTCGCCCGATAACAGTTAGGAAAGGGTAAGGGATCCAAGAAGAGGAAGGTTGCAAGAACAGAGATAAAATAAGAAAATAAAAATGTAGAGAAAATTTTTTTGACTCTACGTAGAGCCCAATAGAACGCACGAGCAGATAGGCCCCGGCGAGCCCGTTCTAACGAAACCAAACATGGTGCTGCCACTATAAAGGGGTCCAGAGTAAGAGGGGTTCAAAATTTCTGGTTACGGTTAAGTTCCTCAGACCACCACGGCATGGTAAGTGTTTTCTTGTTTTTTTATTTTAGGTATAGTGTTTGTGCATGCTTGTGTTGGTGTTTAATAGATTATGGGTAAATGTATCTAACTGTTTTGTAGTTTGGATTTTAGCTATTTCTGTTTTAGTTATGTTATGTGCTTAATTGTTTAAATTTCTCATGAAATTTAACCCAATTTGCTTTTTTGGTGTTGAAAATTCTGGTTGTTCTGTTTGTTGTAATGTGTTTTGGTTTTTGGAGGTAGATCTTAAATGTAATGCCGTTGTGGTCAGAGCTCGTGAGGCCTTCTTCGACCTCCCAATCGTCCACCACATTGAAAATCTCAGCGGAACAGATCGTTAGGTCCACGAAGCTGGTGTAATGTTTTCCGCCCCTCACAGTGTCAAATGTAGGAGTTTCCCCTCTGTTGAGAATATGGAGGCCTAGCTCATTCAGCAACCCGGAGAGCTCGTCTCCTCTTCTGTCAATTGTGGGGCTTCCACACCAGGAGTTTTAAATTTGGTGGCTATTTTTCTAATATGCTCCAGGTATGGCAGGATTGGTTGGTCCGGTTCAAAATGAGATGAGTGTCACCTCCCAGATGTCCGCTTTTATTCCCAGTACAACGATGTTGTTGGTAGTAAGGTTTGGGTACTGTTTGACCCTTAAGTCTGGGTCTGGTCAAAGACTGCGATGGCCGCCTTTACAGTACCCTCGCCGCGATTGGTGTTCTGGTACACCCGCACCCCCCGGTGACTCCTCATCTCCTTGGCACTACCTACGTAAGGTTCCTGGAGCAGTGCAACTTTAGCTCCCCTCTTCCCCGCTTCGAGTAATAGCTCGTTTGTGGCTAGTTTCTTTCGCTGGAGGTTCGCTTGAATTACGCGGTAGTGGATTTGGCTGCCCTCGGCGCCCTTAGCAATATGCTACTGCCGACCGGGCTAGTCTATCCCACTTTCGTCTGATTGGGCACTCTGCGTCAAAGGCGTTGTGTTGGTTCTTGTCTAGTTGCGCTTTTGTGCAGTTCCGGCAGCTCGGAGCTTCGCCAGCATGGCGATCAGCGCAGTCTTTACCTAGATGTGGACCCCCACAGTGGCTGCACAGGTCGGCTGTTTCTTTACAGAAGCGCTTTCCAAGACGATATAGAAGTAGTTCGTTGCTTAAATTGTCAGCAATTCGGTCATGTACAAAAGTTTTGCACCATTAAAACCCCTACTTGTGCTAATTGCGCCGCCGCACACGAAACGCGAGTTTGTCCAGATAAAGACACACCAAATTTTAAGCCCACGTGTGCACAGTGCAGGTGGTTCAAAAAACCATCTGACCATCGATGCGGCTCACACGATTGTGCCACATACAAATTAAAACTGGAGCAGCTAATATTAAATACCAATTACTGAATAGTTTAATTCAGCTTAAAAAAAAAAAAAAAAAAAAAAAAAAAGTTTATAGAGTAACTTACTAAGTAATGGATAATATTTCCATAGGCCAGTTAAATCTTCATAACGATAAAATAGGGATATATGTTGCAAGTTCTAATTTTACGGTAACATCTTTGCGTAATCTTATGACGTCACACTGCGCCGTTGCTGAGATCTCATCCTCTACCTGTAAGGTTTACGTAGTGAGCTGCTATTTTCAATATTCACATCCTATTGATCCTCACTTACATCACTTACGTTACGTCTTGCAGTACCTCGTGGGACATAAAATTATCATTGGCGCTGATGTCAATGCGTCATCTTCATTATGGTATGGCAAGTTGCGTTCAACCGACACGGTTCGACGTTGAAGATTTCATTGCGGAAATGAATCTTACTATTCACAATACCCCCGATGCACCACCAACTTTTTGCAACCCAATGGGTGAGTCTTCTATTGACGTGAAGCTTACGCGCGGCGACGTCTCGATATCCGGATGGCGTGTCCTCCCGGACGCATCCTGTAGTGATCACCGCCTGATCGTGCACGAATTCATACCAAGGGTTGCACGGGATCCACAAAGGGCTCCTTTTAATTTTAGATATACAACTAAAGGTGCGAACTGGGCTTTGTTTGGTTCACTATTTGCAACTCATACCAAAGACTTCAGTCGCAGTAGTTTATCAGCTGAGGAAAGCGCAGAAATACTATCAGAAACTTTCACATACTGCGCTGATGTATCTATTGGTCGCGGATCTATCACTAACACTCGTAGATGTGATTGGTGGAATGATAGATTAGTCGAACTACGTAGAAGCTACCGGAAAGCTCGTAGAAAATTAAACAATTTTAAAAAACACAACGTAACAGGAGATTTGTACAATAATGCTCTCATTGCTCTTAGAGTTGCCAGGTACAATACAGAGCTGCAGTGGAAAAATCGAAGGGAAACTTAATTCAGAAACTTGTCGATAGACTCGATAGAGAGGGCCCGTGGTCACCTTTGTATCACGAATTTAAGGCAAATAGATCAATCGACCTTGCATACATACAGAACATCAAAATTAATAACAGATATACCACAGAAGTAGAAGAAACAGCAGACTATCTTTTAGAATCACTCGTACCTGACGATCGGCCGGAAAACGACACTGATCATCACCGACAGATCAGGCAGTGGGCCATCGAACCACCACTGTCTCCAATGTCTGATTTACCATCTTCAGACGAATTTCTCGGTATCATTAGATCCTTGCCACTAAACAAGGCTTCGGGCGATGATAAAATATCTAACAAAATGATCAAAGAAGCTTGTAAACTTTCGGGTGACACGATTTTCACTGTCTTTAAACGTTGCATTGCTGAAGGAATATTTCCTCGTATATCGCGGTGCGGTAATATTCGTATAATACCAAAAAGTGGCGACAAGCCACCGGATGATCCTAAATCCTACCGATCAATCACATTGTTACCGTCGTTAGGAAAGCTTTTAGAACGTCTTGTAGTGCCTCGGCTTCTGCCAGGTGGAGTCAAATTTCATGATAGACAATTTGGATTTACGTTGGGTAAATCGACAACTGACGCTGTTATATCGGTTAGAAAGTTTGTCACAGAGTCAAAATTTCAATACGTGCTGGCTATTTTCTTAGATATATCTGGCGCCTTCGATAACGCATGGTGGCCCATGCTGTTGCTGAAATTAAAATCACGGGGGTGCTTTAAAAATATTTATGCCCTTATATCTTCGTACTTTTTACAAGGTACTACTAAACTAAGACTTGGTCATCATTCTGTGTCGAAGGCGCTTACAATGGGATGTCCTCAGGGATCGGTGCTAGGTCCATACTTGTGGAATATCGGCTTCGACGATTTTCTTGCGATACCAATACCATCCGGATGTACTCTGAACGCGTATGCTGATGACGGCTTATTACTGGTGGAATCTGATACTAGGGCGGGGCTTGAAAGATTAGCCAATAGATGTTTAAACTTGATATCTCAATGGGGTGAACGTAATCGCATAAATTTTGCACCCAACAAAACCTTCCAGCTACTTTTAAAAGGTAACCTCAAATCACCGCCAAGCATTAGATTTGACAATGTTACTGTAAAAAATAAGGCCTCAGTGTGTTACCTAGGATTAGTTTTAGAGAGAAACTTTACATTTATCGAACATATTAAAATAGTTAATGAAAAGTCTAAAAAGAGTTTCTGTGCATTGACAAGGATATCAACTGCGACATGGGGTCTATCATTTAATACATTAAAGATCATATACGGAGCTACTTATTACGGTTCTATGTGCTATGGTGCACCTGTATGGGCCGATAGGGCGACCGTAGGCGCTGTCCGTCGCAAACTGTTACAAGGCCAACGACTTGCACTGATATTCTTGTGCAAGGCATATAGGACGGTTAGCACTGAGGCTTTGCCGGTGTTGGCGGGTGTGCTTCCGGTCGATCTCGAAGTGCAGAGACGTGCAGCCATGTAGGTACTATTCAAGACAACAAAACATGGAATGCAATTTTTTGGGCCCGCGGGATCGCGGTAAAATTACAAGATTGCTTCAACAGCAGTCCGATGTCTATAATGACCTCATAGACGAATGGCAACAACGCTGGGATGAATCATCCAAGGGGCGCCATCTTTACCAATTCTTTCCATCTGTTCGCGAACGGTTGTCGAGGACATGGCCCCGGTCTGGTTACTCCCCTGTACCTCCGGAACCAGTGGGCCGATTTGGCCCGTGCTTGGACTCGCCTGGCTTGGCTCGTCGAGACCCACGGCCCGGAATTAGATTTGACCCCCAAAAATTTTTGACCCCCGATTTCACTAAAACCCAAAATATTATGTACGGTAAGAGCTGCCAAGGCGCCCCAAGGAAACCCCGACTCGCTGAGACAACGCGTTCCGGAGCTATGCGATTTTGAAAATTTCCAAGATGGCCGCCAGTCGATTTTTGGCCGGCTCTTTCTCCAGTTCTATTTGTCCCAGCGTACCCGTGTTTGGGCTTATCTAGGTCGCCCCGACAACTCCTATCGCGCGGTACCGTTTTCAGCACCCTGAAAATTTTTTGCTCCTACACTCCTGAAATTTCAGGAGGAGGTAGCCAACTCCCTATAAGAGCCCACAGTGAAAACCGCAGCCTTATAGCACCAGCGGTTCCGTAGTTATGGCCGTTTTTACCAAAACAAGATGGCCGACCAGCTGTCAGATTACGGTTTTGAAAGCCTATATCTCCTCAACCAATGGTCGGAGAGACACCGGGTTTTTTCTGGACAGCTCGGCCCTATCTCGGGTATCCTGCTAAACAGGTTTTGGGGCT